TGACAGGCAACTGAGCAGGGCCCACTTGGTACCTGTCTGTCTTTATAGCCAGATGTGGCTCTTGACTTAACGGCAATAGTCCACTGAGTCACTGCTCATTTGCTTATGGTCCATGAGCACCTTACTTTTGAAGTTGCCAGCCATGGTTGCTTCTGAAATGTCAGAAAATTTGTTCACTAAACTCTGAAGCCCAACAGATACTGGCTATGAAAACCTCTACCAGGCAGAATTGTGTGTTTCCCGAGGAACCCAATGACAATCACTAAAAATAATACAGCTGGCCTTACACTTACATCCATTCGTTTAGTGACTGTTTGAAGTTACAACAGCACTGGAAAAAGTTATTTATGACTGTTTTTCACATTTACAAACATTGTATCATTCCCATGGTCACGTGATCAAAATTCGGAAGCTTAGCAACTGGCATGTATTTATGACGGTTGCAGTGTCCCTGGGGTCATGTGATCACCTTTTGCGACCTTCTGACAAGCAAAGTCAATGGGGAAGCCAGATTCACTTAACAGCTTTGGCAAGAAAGGTCTTAAAATGGACAAAACTCACTTAGTAATTTTCTGTTGCTTAGCAACAGAAATTTTGGGCTCAATTGTAGTCATAAGTCAGGGACTACCTATACTTAGATGGATGAACCATATACTAAAGCTTCCTAATTTATTGAAATATGTAACCCTGCATATAGCATGTGATTTGAAACTGAAAGTACAGGATTAAAAAATCACATAGGATTCTTAAGATTAATCTTCCCTCTACAATTGTACTTTTTATTAATATATCTATATGTTTCTGGCAAATGACACTTAGCCCTAATGTATCAAAAACATCAGTGTATCAAAGTGTTATCAAAAAGCAGTTCTTAACTGTTGTTTCCACAACTGTCAGATAATAAAAATATATTAATATACCAAATTATGTGAAAAAAATTGAATACAGTAATGTTACTGTGTTATATCTTGTTATTATTATTAATCACACAGCCAGCCAGATGTTCAGACTGGGTTTGGCATTTTTTTCTATCGAGTTCTTACCAAGGACCTGGGATAGGCAGATGTGGATGTTTGATGGTGTTAGAGATATTGTTGCAGGATGGAAGCTGTTCCCAGTAGAGCCGCCTTTTGCAATTGACTGATGGCAAATTTGTCAGTGCCAATGGTGTCCAAGTGGTGCTCCAGTTGTTTTGGGATTGCACCCAAGGCGCCTATTACTATTGGTACTATCCTTGCTTGCCTTTGCCACAGTTGTTCTATTTTTATTTGTAGGTCTTTGTATTTTGTTTATTATTATTATTATTATTGTTATTGTTGTTGTTGTTGTTATTATTGATCATCGCACAGTCAGCCAGATGTTCAGACTGGATTTGGCATTTTGTCTACCTATCGAGTCCTTACCCAGGACCTGGGATATTATTATTATTATTATTATTATTATTATTATTATTATTATTATTATTATTATTATTATTATTATTATTATTTCAATGCCCAAAATAAATGAATGCAATAACAATTAATAGCGCTAGGGTGCGCTATTGGACAACAAATTACCCTTGTTAGAATTTCCGACACCCTCCTACTCCCAATTGTTTTGTGGAAAGGTCGCGCAGAGGAGGGTTAAAAAGAAACCCTTCTGAATGGTGGGGAGACTCGAGCAAGAAAACGCGTGCTTAGCTACGAGAGTTCCCTGGATGTAGCCGTGCCGGGAAGCTGGGACCTTTTGTTCTCCTGCGGGCGGGCTGTTTCTGAAGCTGAACCCCCACAAGCCCATCGCTCGGAAGATGCAGGAGCGCGGCTGGGACTGACCATCTCCAGGTGCCACCGCAGCGACAGCCACGAAGCGACGCCGAGGATATATGCTCGGAGGGGCGTGGGCATCATGTACGTCGGTTCTGTTAATGTTTAGGCAGGAGACGAAAGTCTTGGGCCACGCGTGAAGGGACGAGGCTCGCCTCCCCAGAGGCTAGCTTTTCTTTCTTTACCCCTCTCCCCATTTTACACACCTTTTTTTATTCTCACCCCCATCCCTGCAAACTATTCTGCCCCTTTTCTTCTCCTACTCCCTTCCTAACCACTGTGGGTTTAGGTGGAGGTGTCATCTGCCTTGCGCTGCTGGATTGATACGCCTCCCCACCAAGCCTTCGGGTAAGGGTCTGTTATCCTGGGGGGGGGGGTTTAAAGGAGCGAGGACCGCATCAAGAACAGCGCTTAAGTTGATTTTCGCCGCGCGCCTTGCAGCTCCGTCGTCCCAAGCAAGAAAGGGAGGGTCGCCTACGGGGCGGGGGTGTCTCTGGGGGCGCACCGCCTTTGGACCACAGGCTGAAGGACTCGCCCTCCTTCCTGGAGAAGAGCAGAGGTTGGATGCGCTGCTGATAGGCCGATGGTGGGGCGAAGCGGTGGTAGGAGGTCGGTGGTCTGTAAAAGAGGCAGGGGATGATAGCAGTACGGCGGGGTTGCGGTTACTGGTCTCTCTCTCCCCCCCATCTCCCCCCCCTCCGTTCCTTTCTGGCTAATTGAGAAAGTGGACATTTTCCTCTTTTCCCCACAAAGAATTGTGCTCAGCCGCGGCCGTTCTGTTCTCTTTTTGTGACTGGGTGGAAGCGGATTGTGTGAATGCGCGCACAGGCTCGTTCACAACCTTGGAGGAGAGGGGGAGCTTCTGATGGCTACGAAGTGGCTATGAAGTGTCCCGCGATCCCAATGGCTCTAACATAATAGGAATCAGAACGGCTAAATGTTTAATCTCATATGTTTTTCACGGGGGATTAGTGGTGGAGACTATCTGCCAATTGATTGTTATTGAATTTAGTCCTGCAGTTTGTCTAGGTGTTCATAGAATCACAGGGCTGGAAGGAGCCTTGGAGGTGTTCTAGTCCAACCCCTCTGCCAGGGGAGTCCTTATACTATCCCGGACAAATGGTTAATCTTTTTTTTTTTTTTAAACTTAAAGTTTGTGATTTGGAATTGGCCCTGTGTGTTTTGTCTTGCCTCAAAATATGGAGATTTGGTGCTGCTCGTTGTGTGAGGGCTTCCCTGTTTTGGAATCTGTCCAAACGCCCTTAGTGACACCCCTTTGCAATCTGCTAGGATGCTGTGCCTTGTCTTAGCAAGAGATAAGGTTAAGTCCAGCCTAGACATCTAAAGTTAGGAGGTATTGCTATGACTGGATTGCCAAACGCGTTAGCACCAGAACTTCCAGGTAACCTCAGAACCGCCTTTCCCCGTGCATTGAGCTGCAACTCCCACAACTCCTTATCACGATTAGGAACTATGGGAGTTGCAGCCCAGGTGCAGTGACCATTTAGCAATTTGGGTAAAACCGCTTAAAACCGGGAAAGAGAAATCTCTACATCCAGGTGCTTCACCGCTGCCTGGACTCTTTCAAAGGCCCCTATTGGTGGTGGTGGTGATCCTCCCAAGGCTTAGTCCTCTTTGGGCGGCTTTTTCAAGTACATCAAATCGCTGGGCGTTTTTTTCGAATCTCGTTGTCCTCCGTGACTGCTTAGTATTTTTGGGGAGCCGGTACTAGTATTTCCCACTTATGTTTGCATTAGCACTAGTATTCAATATATGGGACGAGAGTAAATTGAAAACAGATACTTTTCTTGCACGGACTGGGTGCATTGACAGGAAACGCATATACCCAGTTCTGGAAGCTGCCTTGGATTCTTAAACCTGCGTTAGTTTAGCACATTTTGTCTTTCCTTAGGCAAAAACAGCAGTCCCGTTCTGCAGCGCACTTATTATAATTAATATAATTTACGAATCGACTCCTTTCACATTCCGACTTTTTTTTTTTTGTCTTTTCTGGTGGGTACTCTGCACGAAAAATAAACTTCTCGGGAATTAGCAACCAACGGTAATCAAAGCAGCCATTGAGCTGGTTGAGGATGGAACAGAAGAAAATCTGGAAAAGTTTTTTCGCCTTTCAAGCACCGCCCTCTGCTTTTCCCGCTGAAATCCTGCTCGAGCCACGTGCCAACGAGAAGAACGGCGCGGCGGGCACGTGAATCGCCTCGCGGCCTACCTCGGTCCAGACGTTTCCTTTAAAATCAAATGCTCTGGTTGTCTGCCTTCGCTCCCCCCCCCTCCGGCCCATGCCCCTAAATGAACCTCCCTGAGGATTTTGATCCGAGAGCTCGCTTCCGTTCTTTGTAAATCTGTGGGAATCTGTAGCCTTGAGTAAAAATGTGACTTGGAAGAACGCGTGGAGTTGTGCGCCTAGACACGAATGGATGGGTGGGATAGAAATTCCAGTGGGATCAAAGGATGGGAGGGAGGGAAAGGTTGAATCCCGAGAAGAAGAAAGCCACGTTCCTAGTTCCGATTTCTCCCGGGCACTTAATTGCTGTTGGAAGGATTTCTACCAGCCCTTGTATGATTTGGGTTCTTTTCATTATCAAGGCAAAGATGGCACGTTATAGTAGCCTCGCGGTTCTCTTCCATCTCTGGATTTTAATTTCCTAGTATACTTCTGACTCGCCAGTTAAGACTTTGGAGTTTCCAGAAAGCCGTGCGCATGTGATTATGGGTTCCAATTTTGGAAAACGGTCCCAAACTAGGGTGGGGTTTTTTTTCGTCTTAAGGGGCTCCACTTGAGTTATCCCCCAATGAAGGGATATTTCTCCAACAAAAACGGAGGTTTTCTCTAGCAGAAGCCCAACGATCCTCTGCACATGCCGTCCTGGGTACAACCGACACAGCCTTGGAGCTCCCCGTCTCTCTGGCAACGGTCTCGGCCAAGCGACTGCCGAGCCGGCTGCCGCTTGGCTCTGGAGCAGAAAGGAGGCAGAAGGCTACGTGTGTTCTTGGCAGGCCAGACGCTGCCCCCTCACCGCCCTCTCTTTTTTCCCCTCCGCGCTCATTCCTCTCTCCCCCCCCACCGCCCCCTCGACCTTCCGCGGCGGGCCAGGCAATTCCTGCGCTCGCGCGGGCCTCCTCATGCCTCAGGAATGCGGCGAGGTATGCGCAACTTTCCAGAAGGCGAAGATCGGCGCTTCCCTATAGCCCCGCTGGAGAGGAGCGAAGAGCACAGTCATAGATCATCCCATGGCACCGATCCACCTTTCCCGCCGTTTCGTAACCGCGGAGACTTGGGAACAGCCCTCTATTAAGTAGCAAGATTGGGCAGAGGCTCTTCCCACTTGGTGAAGGCAAGGCTTCCCTGACGGAGCGACCCCTCGCAGCCTCGCCGACCGACCGAGCGAGGCGGCTCCTCTCACAGCAGCCGCCGCTGCTGCTGCCTCTGCTTCTGGCCGCGCCTTAGCCCAAGGTGCTTGGAGCCTCTCCTCGTTCCTGGCCTCTCCTCAAGCGGCAGCTGTAGGGCTCCGCGGCAGCTGCCATCCCTGCTAATCCCATCCTCCGCCTTCTAAGGTCTGTGCGCGCGGCGGAGTCGGGGAATCCCGTCTCTCCATCCGCTGGCAAATCTTCCCGGGCAGCACAGCCTGCCTCAGGGCGCGTGGACTGTGCACACGCTTGCGCCTGCGGTTTGAGAATCGCAGACGGGTCGAACGTACGTGTGAAAGAGCCCTTCGGGTCTCCTGCGGTTTGATGTTCTAAACGCGTGGGAATCTGGCCTTTCATTTAGACGCGCAAAGTGCATGCCGGTGTCTGTTGGGAGAGCGTTATTCGGATCGAATAATCCGGGGGGATTCATGGGCATTTTGTTGGCCTTGCTTTCTTCAAAGAGCCGCGGACTATCAGGAGTGGGTGGCGAGAATAAAGGCGGGAGTCTTCCCGTGAGCGCTTTTCTCCTACTGTCTTTGCCGTTTGGCTTTGAGAAGTCTGCCGCGAATTGGTCGCTTCTCCCGCTGGTGCTGCCAAAGTCCCCCTTGGCGATTGCGTGTAATTTCATACAGAAGCTCTGGACTAATTCATCTCCAGAGAGAGTTCAGATATGAGGTCACTTTCCTCTACTTCGTTTTATTCGTTTGCCTGGTCGGTGGTGGGGGCAGTAATTATTTTCCTGCAAATTCTGCAAGAACTATGCAGAATTATGTACTAGACAATTTTCTTCGTACTGTATTTCCTAAGAAGCTTCTTTCTCTTGCCTCTCGCTCCGGTCCTTTCTCCGGCTGTGCAAACAGCTCCTTATATGTAAATTTCTCGTGGTGGCCAGTCGTTGGCTTGCTGGAGCAAAATAGCATGTTTACTGTATTTGGCTTTGGATTTTATGCTACGTATGTACTTTTTATTGCCTCCAAATTACATTTTCTAGGTTTGATCACCCAGCGTGATCTGCTTTTGTTTGAGTAACAGTGCGAAAACAATTATTCCGAAATCATTCATAAAGTTTGCAACGGAAAGTAGAAGTATATAAAGAAACCCCGTTGTTAGGATACGAGATAGAGATTTATATATTCGGAGGGTGGAAGTTCCAGGAAGAAAGTCACTGGGACAAAAATTTCAAGTATTCTTAGCCCGCCTGCCTCTCTTAGTTTTGTTTGCTCTTTGCAAAGGGTTTGGACGACAGAGGGCGCCCTAAGCCTGGAAACACGTCTTCGTCAGACGCGTAGATTCTCCTTTCCCCTCATTTAAATGTATTTTTAAGCAAATATGCAAGGTCGATTTTTCCGTCCGCGGTTTAAGTGCGTGTGCGTCTCTGCGTGTGTCTGTCTGTATCTGTCTTTTGTGTGCATTGGGATAGGGATGGATCCAAAATAATAACCTGCCTGATCATCTGGTTTTGTACCAAAGCAGGAGTCACTATATATTATCTTTAGAGGTGTGTGAGAGAGAGTTTGTGTGTGTGTGTGTGTGTGTGTGTGTGTGTGTGTGTGTATAACTGTGTGTAATACAGAAGTGGAGCTGTTGCCATAGCATTTTATCTTCGCATTTAAAAAGATGCTGTGTGCCTGCTTCCTCTTTAGAGTGTCAGCCCTTGGCTCTGGTCCAGCAAAGCATTGGTGAATTCTGTCAGTTTGGTTGGGTGATTTAATACAGGTGCTGTTTTTCATTCTGCTTTAAAATTCCCTTTGAACGGCATAAAAGTTTCTTCCCTTCATGTGGTAATCACTTAATGATTTATGCCAACTGCTTGGCTTTGGGTAATTTGGGTGTGGTATTGGTCTGATGGTTAATATATACTGCTTAATGGATAGAGAAGAAGTCAAAGAATGTTTTTTTAAAAAAATCAAATTCCAGAGCACAATATTAACAATAGGAAAGTCTCAGCTTCAGTTTAGCGAGTCTCAATCAACTTCAGTTTAAAGTGCTGTAGTTTTTGTGCTGTAGTTAATGTGTCAGTCTGAAAGTCAAGAGACTGTGAGTTCTAGTTCCACCTTAGGTATAAAAGTCAGCTTTGTGATTTTGGGCCAGCCACTCTTTCTCAGTTATAGGAAGCAGGCAAGGGCAAACCACTTCTGACACCTTGCCAAGAAAAGTGCAAGGACTTGACCAGGTAGTTGCCCACTGATCGAAGGCACAAAACATAAACTCATTTAAGTAGATAATATTTATGTACAAATGCTGCTGCTAGCTCTATCTTCTATTTCACCATGAGGCAGAACACAATTCATCCAATAGTCAACAAGAAATAAAGTTAATTAGTTTTGGCTATCCTTTTCAAAGTACTTGAATCATTGTCAGAAAGGAAGGTCACAATCTAGGAAGGTCACAATCCACATTACCTATATGATCCTATTCATTTCTTCAGAAATAAAATGTATTGATACATATGGAACTTACTCTCCAATAAGCATTCATTTAGTTTCAGATTTAGCCATACAAATTAAGGGTGTCCAGATCTGTGTTAGATTATAGTCCAAGACTCTCGAGCAGGGGTGTATTTTTTAAAACCGACCCAGATAGCTGTTGCAATTGGAATTACTACATTTGTCTGATGCCCCAAATTTTCCTTTTCTACTCCACTAATTTTTGACATAGATTGATTGCTGTTTAATCTGTGGTTAAAAAAGGAGTGTCTAGAAAAAGAGTAGAAGATTTAAAAATCTCCTTAATTAATAATGCAAATTATTTAAATTCATAATACTGAATTCTACAACTTGGGTTAAATTATGTAAATCTCACACATTGGCATATGTTTTCTAGTTGTAAATGATTTTTTTCCCCATGAATCAAAGAAACAATGCCTTGAGTATCCATCTTATTTTTCCTTCATGCTAGGATATTTTAATAAAACCCAGATATATACTTTGATTTATATCTATAAAGCCCTCAGACCCCATTACGTTCATTAGTAAAAATGTATTGTGAGATTTGCAAGGATACAGAATTCTAGAAGGCTGCTCTAGAGCTCACTTGAAACTCAATGCCTTAGCATTACCCATAGATCAGTGTTTCTCAACCTTGACAATTTTAAGGCATGTGGACTTCAACTCTCAGAATTCCACAGCCAGTAATGCTGGCTGTGGAATTCTGGGAGTTGAAGTCCACATGTCTTAAAATTGTCAAGGTTGAGAAACACTGCCATAGATTGTTCTGTCAGACAGATAAAAAATAATCAGAAGGATTACTGAGTTCAGAAGAGATGTCAGTTTAAAGATTTGCAGGCAACAATATATTTCTGGCCTGATGATGTAATGGGCTGCCTCCTCCCCACCATTCATCTTTTACTTTGGAGTTGTTTTTTCTCTGGGGGTATGTGAACAAAATGATCTGGCTGTGTCTGGGGCTGTTCAATGTGGGTGTCAGATTTCAAGGGTATGTTACATCCCCTTATGTATAATTTGTTTCAGATTTTAGGAAGCAGGGAGGAGTGGGAGTAAAAAGGCTGAGGAGTTGTAAGTAGGGTGAGCAATTTTTATTACCCTTTCCAAACTACTGTGAATCTTTCAAAGGTTAGCCTCAACTAAGTGCTTTAACGGTTGTGAAAAAGAAGCCAAACTCCCAGTTGAAAGTACTATAGGCTTTTTTCTTGCAAAGAGTCTTCTGCATTACCATCACGGGAGCTGATGCCTGAATTTTCTCAAGGGTAGCATGGTGGACAGGAGTATAAAGACTCAGCTTGAATTGCTCATCATTTTTGTGTGCATTTGTGAAATGCAGAATTTTAAATGCACTAGAACCTTTTTTAAAAATACTGATAGTCATGCAGGAAAGGGGATTGGCAATTTTATTCTAGATCAGAGTTCCCCAACCTTTTGGGTACCAGGGATCGGTTCTGGGGAGAGAGGTTTTTCTGTGGACTGGAGGGTGCGTGATTTTGTGTGCTGCCTGCATCCTGCAGATGGGACTTTGCTTGTTTGTGCGGCGCGGTTGCTGGCATGCCGCGGCCCCGGTACTGGTCCATGGACCGGGGATTGGGGACTCCTGTTCTAGATTACAGGTAGTCCACGCTTAAGGACCAGTCACTTAGTGACTGTTCAAAGTTACAACAGATCTGAAAAAGATAATTACAACCTGGATTCAAAATTCTGATGTTTGTCCACCCTTTCACAGGAATGTGATTGCATTTTTTGGCACTTGGCAATTGGCCTGCATTTATGGCCATTTGCAATATTGCACAGATATGTAACCATTGTTTATGATGTTTTTCCACCCCCCAGAAACTGGCATTTATCGTTTACTTCCGATTTCCTGCAAAAAGTGCCTGTAGGTTTAATGACCACAGTGTTTGCTTAACGACCATAGTATTTGCTTTACAATTGACACAAAAAATGTTCTAAAACTGGGTTAGTCATGTGATGTCCTGCTTAATGATTGGTGTGATTTGTGACATTTGTAAGTCAAGGACTATCTGTTTCAGGGAAATATGTAATGCTTGTTCTTATTTTTGGTATTCTATGTATTTATTGAAATAGAACTGTAGAGGTAATCCCCGAGTTATGTCAGTTGACTTAGCGAACGTTGTGACATAACCCCCCCCCCAATTACTTACGATACAGTCCCCAGATTAGGAATATTGCAGAACCACATTCACCCTTACGAATGACTGCAGGGGCACTGCAACATTCACCCTGGCTATTCCCTCCCCCCTGCTGGTTTTCCATAGGCACTAGCCTGTGGATACTCACCTTGCAAAGATCTAGAGCAGCGGTTCTCAACCTATGGGTCGGGACCCCATTTGGGGTCGATCGACCATTTCATGGGGGTCGCCAAGCAAGGCTGTCTGCCATTTCCCCCCCTTTTCCGGTGGGTGCCTTACCTCCCTTGGGCTGGGCCAGATGGTGGCGCAGCCGGTGGTCGGCCTGCTCCATCTCTGCCGCTTGCCAGCTACGTCTCGGCCGGTGCAGGGGGCGGCACCATGCATGCGCGGCACTCCCGGGCAGGGAAAGTCCTTGACTTATGACAGGTTTGGTAGTCCTCGACTTATGACCGGTTTAGTCATCGACTTATGACCGGTTTAGTCCTCGACTTACAACTGGTTTAGTCCTCGACTTATGACCTTTGGTTTCTTGGCCTGTTTCGGTGCT